GCGCAACTGCGTCGCAATCTGACCGCAATAGCAAACATTGGTAGTTATACCTGTGTATACCGATGGACATAGGCTGACATATAGCTCGGCTGAGAGTATTCCTGAGACTATGTATAACAAAATCTATTCATAAACTGGCATGGGTGAATAGGCATAGCTAAATCTATCGCAATCTATTCCTAAGTCTGTGTAGATTCGTCACTTATATTACAAGTCGAATTAGGCAGCCACTCATTTTGGGAAAATCCTGAAAATTTAAAAAAGAACTTTAGATTTCTAAATTTTCATAAAGTATTGCTAGGTCACTCATCAATTTGCAATAAACAACTGAATTTTTCTGGTCAGAATCCAATAGGATCCTATCGTTTCCGTTATCTGATTTGTCGACCTGGGTCAACGATTTGCTCAGTCACTATTTTTAACTCAGAACAGATAAACGGAATCTGCTACAAATTAATATTTTCCTACGTTGAATCACTTTTCAATTTAAAGTATAGTTCACTGGCCTCTTCAAAGAGTAACCTCCCTGAAAGCACAGCGCAAACACTCATATGAAATAACCTATCAACGTGCCATAGATTCATCAACTCAAAACCCTCAAGAACTTTGAAAACTTTACCCACATTTATGCGGAACATCATCGCAATCTTCATACGTTTCATGTCTATGTTGCTTTGAGCTAATTGTCCAGAGCGAGATGAGAAAATCAACGAACACTCTTTATTACTCTGCTTGCATTTATCTATATATACTTTGGAAAAAAAACGTTAAAAGAGGGTTAGCTATTTTCTTCTTATCTCACATGCGCAAATACAACCATAACGCTGTTGTAAACTGTGCTTCAATGTAAAATAAACGTCTTCGAATTTTTCCGCAACAGCCGTCATGCATGAAAGCTTGGGTGTCAATACCAGTTTTGAATCTAGCCATCATCCATAGGCCCAAGGTGAAACGAACGAATAGGAATCAAAGCGTAGTATTCATCGTCAGGAATAGTTCTGGACAGTTCTTTTTATTTCGTATTTAACGTACAATACATCGAAACACACTACTATATCATCGAAAAGAAGTTCATGATACAGTTAAAGCGGTTTTGCCGAAATTAGTCGAGCAATGGCGCCTATTTCAACAATCAATTCAGGAGGAATATTTCCTATATGTGTAGCATCGCCATTGGGCAAGCAATCACAAATTTTTTCAAGAATTATTGAGCGTGTTGCGTTAAGTTTGTCTAGCGAGAGATTTTGGTGTTGCTTTTGTATATATTGGAACAATGCTTGTTGTTCTTGTATCAACAAAGGATGGTCACCTTGACAGCGACGTTTAAGTTCAGCATATAAAATGTTGCTTTGTTCATGATTACGCAAAGCATACGCATCGTTGTATTTGGAAACAAGATGATCATCAGGCATATATCGAACATTCTGATCAGCATCATGATTGCCTAGGAACAGACTAGATGTATTTAAATTACTATGCGACACTGAGCTTCGACCACCATTTGTAGTTGATGGTGAATTCGGATAGTTACTATCAGAAGAGATGTGCATTTGATTGAGTTTGCCTTGTATATCGAACGATCGTATTGGTGAACGAGTTGGTTCACGACGGTGAATGGATTGAAAGTATTGTTGTTGATGAGGGACATGCGAAGCAGGATGTATGTCTGAATACAACTGGTTTTGCATATTAGCACAGTATTGCTGTGCCATAGTTGATGGAAATGATTGATACTGCTGTGCTTGATTTATCGAGCGATCAAAATCTGGTGTATTGATACCAGGATACATGGTAGGCGTATTGCTTTGATGAGCTGTTGGTAGTTGTGCAGTACGATGATTTTCTTGAGATAATGAACTTTCTTCTGAAGGAGCACGCTGTATAAGATTTTGAACAGCAGCAATTTCAAATAGAAGATAAGATGATACTTGATCAATTTTGAGTATATCTGGCTCTGTAATTGCCGTTACACGTTGCTTGAGTTCTTGGTATTTTTCTTTCAACGAATTTGACCCAAGCGCACAATACTTCTGGGTACTTGTTGTAAAGTCAGCGATGCTTGCCGTTGTTTTCATCGGGCCAATTGATTTACCAAGCGATCGCTGTGTTAATTCATATATGTAAAAATTCTGCGTACGTTGATCTACACATGATCGATATCGTGTAAGAAGTTCATTAATAGTCAAATCTGTTAATTGTTCAAAGTCGACTTTCTGTTGTTTTTTCTTGTCAGATTTTGGAAGCCTTTTCGCTTCACCATCACTTTCTTGCTCACCATCGTTACTCTCCTGTATTGATTCAGTTTCGTCGTCGACTTCATCATCACTTTCTTCCTTCTTCTGTCGACTTTCTTTCTTTTTCATTTTGCCTCTTCGTGGTCCTTCTGCCATGGCGCGAAGGGTAGCAAGCACGTCTGCATTGGCATAAGAACCCGATGTAGCAGCAGGTTTAGCCTGCAATGACGTATTGGATGACAATGCTGAGGGTGGACAAGACGTTTGTCTTTGAATAGTTTGTTCAGTATCGATAATATTCATTCTTGATGGTTTGTTTTGCGTCAAACTCTGTTCATTTTCAATCACTGAACAAAATTCCTTTAAACTTCGAATAAAAGTCGTAGCCTGGGTTTTAGCATCGATATCGTTTAACATTGATGCTTCCATGTCTAATTGATGAATAAGAGCGTGTAACTCTTGTGCCAGATTGAATCCCGAACATAATTGATGTAACTGTTCACACAAGGTTTTTATATCTTGTATCTTCTGCTTTAATGCTTTCTTTAACAGTTCTTTCGCATCTGCAGTCGTAGTGATTTTTTGCTGATAGTCAGATTTGTCCTGAGATGCTAGGTCATATCTAGCTTTGATATCGGTGATAATTTCGTCGAGCTTGACTTGATTTTTCACCATTGTTTTGTTGGCATGATAATGAGCACTGGACAGACACTTGCCTGGACATTGCGTACAATTTCCATTACCCATGACCCAACAATGTTGAAAGATTTGAGATCCCACAGTTGTTGTTTCATCCAAATTACAATTATCATGACATACATAATTACATGTCTGACATAATGTACTGTAATAATCGGTATCGACAAGTTCGATTTTTTCTACCATACGTTCTCTCTTGTAATCTTTGAACTGAACAAGATTGTTGTCAGCACTTTGCACAGCATTCTCGAACGCAGCGATTTCATCCTGCATCATTTGAATCTGAGTAATTTCTAATTGGATTGAGTGCATAAGTGTCTTGATCTCACATCGAATATCTTTCATCGTTTTGAATGCTGATACCGATTTCGTTTTGAACGAATCAATGGTTCCCAATAGAGCTGCGAGTTCATTCATCGACTGATCCCATTCATATTGCAATGAAGTAAGAGCCGCTGTTGACCACGTTGCTGGATCTTGAGAGAAAGCAGAGTTTTGCATATAATATGGATAGACATTTCCATTCAGATTGAAAGAAGTTATGTTGAAATTAGCTGCATGCCGAGTGGCATTCGTTAATACAAGAATGACATTATCCATAACAACATCCGGCAAATTACCGCGTAGTCGTGCAATCACATTTCGAAGATTTACTGTTAATCGACACACAGCGCCGTTGACGACAATAACAACTGCTGTGAGACCACCGAGATGTTCAACCGCATCGATAATGCAGAGAATGTTTTTATCATCCTGTTGTGCACCTCTTGTGTCTGCTAGGCCTGGCGTGTCGAGAAATAGATATTGTTTGCCGTTATGCACAAACATATATTGATTGCATGAATCAGTTTTTGACTGACTGGTGTTGTTCACATCATTTTCATTGTAGCCAAAGTTCTCGGTAGGCTGAGGATGATATCTGGATGGTATAGCGACTCGAAGGTTTTGTAAGGTTCCGTTTCGAAAATAATTTGTCAAATAATTGATAAATGTAGACTTTCCTGAACCCGTCTCGCCGATAACCAGAATCTTAGCCATAGAGCTTGTGTCAAGAGTTTCTCGAATAGGTTCGACATGGCTCGCCGATACTGGATATGAATTTCTTGCTGATACCGAATGTGAACTGTTTGACGGTACTGAATGTAAATAGCTTGCCGATGCTGAGTGTAAATTATTTGACAAAGCTGAATTGCCTGTCGATGCTGAGCGTAACTTGCTTAATAATGTTGATTGTGACTGCCGCAATGTATGTGCTAATGATTTTTTAATGCCGACAATTTTTTTGGACATTGTATTGATTCTATGGAGTAGGAATTGGCAGTTTTTTTAAATCTGTAAGTGTAGAAAATATGATAAAGACGTTATATCTGAAATGAAATCGAACTTTTATGAAAAGAAAAAGCAATTACAATAGCTTAGAGCTTTCCAATATCAGCGCTCTTCTTCTTCTTCATCGGGTGGAGACAATAGAAGGTTGACTGCGACTAAACGCAACAATGTCTCTGGATCCACTTTTTCAATTTGGAATAGATCATAATCGGTTGCTTTATTAATATCTTCTTCTATCCGATTTTTTTGTTTCAATAATGTTTGTACGTTTTCACTGCGACAATGAACAAAACTTTCACAAAGACTAAACAATTCACGATTTGACAGCAAACCCACTGTTTTGCCATGAATACGGTTATTCAATTCTTTTCGCACATCTGCACTGTTATTTACTTTACTAATCTCGATCAATTCACTGAGAGTGAAAGCATTCAAATTCATTTCACCTGGAGCTTTGATTTTAGCAACATCTTTGACATTGTTTTGTGATGCTTCGCCGTTTGTCTGCGACGACGAACAGATTGACAACGCTTGGTGATTTTGTACCGACTCTGAAGTACGTACAGTACTAGGACACTCATCATCTCCGGTTTCTTCAGCTGGCTGTTGGGTTGCTGGTACTTCTAGAGTATTTGTATGCGTGGGAACAGACTGTTGAGGTTCTGTGGTTATGTTTGAACGAGTTTCAGTATTTTCGAATCCTTTACATAGTTTCTCAAGATCGGTAATGATTGCTTCAGCTTTTCTAATCACAGATCGTTGTTTGAGTTGTTGAACATCGTTCTTCAAACAGACGATAAAATCATACAACTCATTAACAACACTCGTCTTGGAACATGTCTTCCGTAATTCTTCGATATTTTCTTTAATCTTTTCATATTGGTTCTTTAATTCATTGTCAACAATTTTTTTCGCGTCCTGGATCGCGTTGCACTTCAACAATGCCTTTTCTTTTTCTGCTTTAGCATCTTCGTGGCGCTGTTGTAAACCACGAATAGCTTCTTGAATAGTTCTTCTCTCATCATTGTATGTAATTCTGCTATAGTAATGAAGTCTTATCGGACAACGACAAATTTTACAGAAACCATCTTGCTTAGCGGAACAACCGTGTAGAATATTGTTACCAACATTGGAATTCTCGTCCGGGCTACAGCTTTTATGGCAAACTTTGTTACAAGAGCTACACGTTGTTGAATGATGACCTGTTTGATGCGCAACATGACGGGTAATCGTTTTCGTTTGGATAAAATCACGAAATTTTTCCACGTTTGAGGAATGAATGTGAGCTGATAGTTCATATCCAATAAGTTCATCCTCCATATTTTGTAGATCCAGCAACATCAAGCGTACAGCATGAAGTTCTCGCTTGATATTATTTCGATTATCATTCATATCTTTGAAACATGTTATCGCCAGACCTTCAAGGCGACATAGAGTACCGACAATAGAATTGAAAGTTTCCATTGACTTTTGAAATTCTATTTCCAACATATCTCTCGTTTGTTGAGACCATTTTCTTGGATCTGTAGAAAAGGCTGAATTTTGCATGTAGAAAACTGCGCACCCCTTCGAGAGGCCAAGGTCTTCAGGATTGAAATTCACCGAATGACTTTGACAATTAGTCAAGATAATAAGTAAATTGCCGTAAATAATATCCGGCAAACGTTCTTGGAATTTTCTAAGTGCATAACAAATATTGACCGTAGCACGGCACACCGCGCCATTTATCACAAGAATCAGAGCAGTTATTTCAGGCAGGCGTTGTATATAAGACAAAATGTTTTCCATATTTTGATTGTCTTGACACAGACCACCGGTGTCATTGATGCCCGGTGTGTCTACAATATGAAATTTGACACTTTGTAGTTCGAATGTATACGAATAACACGTTGTAGTTTTGCTTTTTGTAACATCGGCAACAAAGTTCTCGTTGTGATTGTAACCCATATTGGTCGAACGGAAACGAGTTGGAATGGCAACTCTTGGATTATCAATAGATCCACGTTTAAAATAATTTGCAAGATAATTGATGAAGGTACTTTTTCCTGAGTAAAAACGAACTGAATTCAGCATTAGCATAACGAATGTAAAACCTACCACTTCCTGTTTCTCCAAAAATGACGATGTATTTCTCAGTTGATGGCATGACTTTCAACACAAGCAAATCTATTGTAGGAAAGAAAACAACATCTTATTAATGACGTACACTGAGAGTTATTCGTCAGACTCACTGAAATAACCTTATTGTTCAATGTTTCACTATTTTCACAATTTCTAAATGGTCACATATACCATCGAGACTTTCTTTTGGTACAAACTTAACCCTTAAAAGCCGAAGAGGGTTTTTGTGAAATGGAGAAAGAATTAATCACATAAATAGAGAGTTTAGACCCCCAATATGCACAAACCGTGGCTGGAACTGCTGGGTGGGACTAAAAAATTTTTCNATCAATGACTTTCCCATGATTTCCTGCAATGGGAATCTGACTTCGTATCCGGCCATCCGCTTCCAATTGATTCCTTGATACGGATCATATTTTCGGATACGGTCGTAGGATCCGTTGGTCCTTTTCGGGCGACGGGATACGAACCGTAACCCACAGTTTCCGTTACGGTTACGAGCATATGAACCGCTACTTTCCGGTATTTTCAGATTCTAAATCGTTTAATACGATTTTTCAACTATTCAGTATTTAAATGCACAGAAATTTTACAACTTTATGATACCTAATCAATAGAGAGGTGATAGAAGCCTACCATTGATTGAGATGAAAATATTTGTTTGCATCTAATTACTCGGCAGACTGATACAACTGTTCTGAATTTTTTACTTTATAAGTGATTCTTTACTTAAGATTCAATGATTCCCAACGGTAATTATGCGAATTTTTTTATAATACTATTGAAAAATATTTCAAAGCCACTCCTCAATTGTAAAAATACAGTATCGTATGAAAGAAAATGTTCCATTTTGGTTATACTGTGAATCGGTTATTATTCAAAAAGTTGTCAAATGGTTAGTAATTACATAAAATCTTAGCATGGCGTCATTATCGTCACTCCGTACAGACAGTAAGAGAACGACGCGAGATTTTTTCGATAACGCTTTGTTGGAAAGGAAGAGACATAGAACAAAACCAGATATGAGAAGGAGAGAGATGGAGCCAACCGAAAACATCCACCGAACTGATACAGTTTGAACAAGGACAAACTTGCAGTGATGCGGGAAGTATCGGAGTGATACCACGAGAGAACACAGTACGTCAGATGATCAAATTCGATGAGCGATACAATTTTTATGCTTGGCTCTTGTTTTCAAAATGCTTTTCATACACTTTAAAGATTGTTTCAATACTTCCGACATTTCAACAACTACATGACTTGATCAGACGTAACTCTCGCAATTTAGTGTATTGAAGACAACAACACCCTCACACCCTTTCTCAGCAACCTGGTTTTGTGAGAGCGCAACATTTAAACTGAGATTTCTTTTGTCTTTGTCATTTGTTTGAATTCTTATCTTCACTTTGTCATCGCGTTTATCAAAACAACAGTCAAGATGGTTAGTGTTTCGAAATGGATGTGCGCTATTTTTGCAATTTTATTCATGATTGTCAGCTACCAAGTTCAAGCATCAAATGAACTTTCATTCAAGTCAAACGATAGAATTCGTCGATATTTGAGCAAACGTGGACCACCGTGTTGTGAGTGTCCTGCTGGTGCACCATGTAATGTAAAATGTTGCACCGTTGGCTAAATCAAAACATTTTTTCTTCTTCTTCTTCTATTTTCGATTTCTTTTACGAAAACCAAGAGATCAAATGAATAAACAGAACTAATTGTAATAACTAGCGAGTTGAATGTCTCCGTAGAATTTTTTCTATATATTGTCGATAGAAGAAACGAAGTCTTTGAAAAAACGCTCGACGAAAAAATGGACCTGTAAACATCGCGGCATAGAACGGCGTCGTATAATTGAAGAAGTACAAAGAACTACCAAGCCTCTCAGCGAATCCTTCCGCAGCTTTCCCATTCACTGTTGGAGGTATAATTGCGAAAACGATGCTGCGACAACTAGCCGAACCAAAACGTAGGCTTGAAAGCAATACGCTCAAAAGCACTTGTATGACGATAATCTAAAGCTTTCAGAATTTGTGTTTATTCAACCAGAAAATAGTCGTACCTGAATGAGTTTCAATTCGAGCGTTCTTCGACGATTCAATATGCGATTCACTCTAGTTGCTGGAATCACTCGTCGACGTGATTTTCTCAAAGTAAATATTGTCAACACAGAGAAGGTTAACATTAGCATATGAGGGGCCAGTATCACAACAATAATCAAATATGCTCCAAAAATAAAGGTATAGCCACTTCCAGGTTGGATTTGACAAGCGTTCTGAAAAATGTCAAAGAAGAACAGTATATGTGTTGATAGTAAAAGTGTAATAACGAATGTAACCAGTGCCAAGCATTTCGCAATCTTAATTTGATTCCATGTTCGTATTCTAGCATCGTCCGATGTTAATAAATACCGATCAATAGTCGCTAACAATATATAATTAGCTGCGAGTGCAGGAAATGCTACTGCAATATAATATCGAAATTTACAAAATACACTGGACTCATTCTGTAAATTACTTCCCGAACGATCGTAAAATACCCGTAGTTGAATACAAACGAGAATTGTGGTTAATTGAGATATTGTACTACAGAGTAAATAGATCTTAGCGGAAGATTTACGTAGCTGATGAGTGGTAAATATAATTAGATTACCGATACATCCAATTGTACCAAATATCAAAGTCATTAGATCAATATATAATGTTATATCAAGACCGATTTGTCCCAATCTATCTGCATAGCTAGTACTGCTTGACATTTTTAGGACTTTGACCTTTTTTTATGATGTTTGAAATAAGAAAAACTTTTAAATGAACTGAAAATATCCACTTCTTTTGTTGCTTATATAGAAGAAGATTATTTATTTCTAGTCTAATTAATTTTCATTCTTCTTTTATGCTAACGTCAAACCTTGGAAAAAAAGTAAAAGTAGCTAATAATTAAAACACGAGCTCTGAGATGTCAAAATGGATAGTGCTCAATATTTAACATATAGCGCAGCAGCGCAACCAAATTATGATTATAAAGAAAATGCAAGATTTTCTCTAAAGGAGGAACTTATGATCACGATTTTGAACGTGTCTCTATACCATGAATTCAGATGAATTTGCATTGACGACTGTCTCAACATCTCAATATGTACCCAAAGAAAATACACGACAACGATATAAAAGGAGAAACAGAACGAAAAAAATAACAGCATTCGTTCATATTCGTTTTTCTTTCGTTCGAAAACATATTTATACACGTTGGCTTTTTCCTAGTGATAGCTAACCCTCGAATCATAGTCATCATGAATTTTTTCTACGAAGGATTGCTCTCATTGGTAGATACTTTATATACATCGTAACCGATAAATGGAAAAAATCTATCCATTGGTCAATTATATAATAGGACCACTCTGTACATGGTTTAGATACTTTAACTACGTGAAACTTTGCCAGATCTCTTATTACTAACGATTAGATAATTGTAGGGAAAGAAAAGGATTGATCGGCTTCTTGTGAATTATGTTTGTTTTCATATCATTTTAAAAGTAAGTAGAATGCAGCGAATTACTACAAACGAGGCACCCGGCTGTTCTCCACCCACTGACAACCAACCATGCAATGGCAACGACAATGATGTAGATCCTAGAAATAGAGAAGAAAATCGAGATGATAGACAAACTTTCGGTTCAGCAGTACGAAACATTGCGTGCGTGATTATATCCATCCTTCTTATTATTTACGGATCTCAATATATTTAACTTATAATCAATCATTGTCAACCGAGGAATACTTTCCTGTCTTGATATTGAACAAGGATATCACAGGCTATTTAGAAACATTCGTATCAAGAACAGAAAAAAACCAAAGTGAATGTGAAACGAAAAATTGCCTACGTACATCGTCAGCAAACGAATATGCACAAATACTTCTGTCCTCCTTAGCTACAATTAATCACAATTATCATGGTTTATTACGATGAATTAGGCACAGGTCAATTAGAAAACTTCGTCAATACGATTCTCGATACAGACTATAAAGCTATCGATATCTAACATCAACATGTGGAAAAAGGTGCTGCTCACAATGATCCATTGTATACATATCTTATCAATGAACTGGATCAACTTACAGCTTTCAAGCAAAATACCAAACTAGCAGGAAGTATATTCAATCATTTACGGGAGTTATCCTTATTGCTTCGAGTGACTTACATCTCTATTTCTTTCAAAACAAAAAAATATGTCGATGTTTTATCCAGTACTTGAAGATATACAAATGAAAGATGCTATTAGCTGAGAGAACATTAGGAATTAATCTTCAACTACGCTGATTATATTCTCGAAATGATGAACAAAAAGGCATCGTTTTGTCGTTGTAAGTCATTAACAGATTTTCGAAAACTTATTAGTTATTCGGATGAAACCATTGCTGAATACATCGATCGAATCAAAACACCACGAATGGTTCATTATTTCATGACAGAACTGATTATACAAATGAATAGCTTTGCACAAAGTGTTGAAGTACCTTTTCGAGCCACCGTGAAGAATGTAATGTCTTTGCTGCTTTTAAAAAAGCGGAGGAACATTCGATGAAATACTGATCACTTTTCTGGATTGCACTTTATATAGTCATATACATCATTCCATATTGTTTGAGTGAATCGGCCAAAAGCATTGACACGGTGTATGCGTTTGAAATGCAATTGAGGTTTATCGTGAAGAAGATCAATACTTTTTTCTCATTGAGAACAAGCATTGTGTCCAGTCATATTTACTTCATCGGATTAAACATTATCATTTCATACGTACAAATCACAAGTACTGATTATGATCATCAACGCTTAGCACATTGTTTCTACCAAATTAGTTACAAAAATGAAGCACAGATTGTTCAAAAGAGATCGAAGCGTCCGAAAACATTAGCAAATGATTAACCTATAAATTGTCAGTATTAGTTGAATCTAAATAATAATTGCGGCTATCGTTGAATTACTTGATCGACAGATTTCTCATGAAAGTGATATGTCAACGTAAGAAAATACTCCAAAATACTTATATTACTTGTACTGAAATTTTCGATTATATCTATCGCGCTGAGAGCACATACGCCCAATCGATTATTTATGTTATGCCGATATATTATTATTGATTTCCTTTTACAAAATGGTATTCAGACAACTTGATAGATACGATCATGCATACCACACCCTCGCCCTCAACACCAAAGATATTCTAGTTTTCTGAGTTTATTTGATCACACTGATACAAAAATACATTTCATTATATACAATCTACATTCTAACTGATATAGTGTTGACGAATGGATGCAGGAACACCAGTGTATGGTTGAAAGTGAAGAGCATCTAGTGGAGTGAAATCGATCTCACGCTCAACACCAACATGTCCATTCCATGGATTGACATACATTCCACNACACGATTTTTTTCTTATGATACTATCACTCTGGCTGTTCTCATTCGACAAAATAGTGGCTCTTGTGGATACGACTTAATTCCTTCGTTCTATAGCCATTAATGCAATGTCCCTTGGAAGGGACGTTTCGGCTTTTAAGGGTTAAAGTAGATAATGGTTTACTTACTGTGTGAAGACTGAAGCGGAAAGAATTCAGTCGCACAAACTGCAAACGACTTGTATATATGTTGTAGAGGTGTTACTTTATCTTTACTTCATAAAGAATGAACATTTTCTTATTCCTTATCTTTATTTTCAAAATAAAATGACACCACTAGTATTTACAGTTCGTGTACGCTATATGGTTCTTTTCCCCTGATACCAAAACAATCCTTGGAGATATTTCAATGCGCATGTTAACATATTGTATTTTGTTGCTGCGCGTATACACAATATCTTAGCATGACGTCACCACTATCATGTCTCTATACACACAATAAGAGAACGGCGCAAGACTTTTTCTATAACGCTTTGTTGGAAAAGAAAAGACATAGATAGTAGATGAATTCACCATAAAGCGCTGACCATCTTTTCCATGAACACTTCATAGAGCTGTTATCAGTAGTTGATCACTAATCATCAGTTGCGGGACAGAACTGAAGAACATAGCGAACAACAAAACTAGATATGAGAAGGAGTGAGATGGAGCCAACCGAAAACATTCACCGAACTGATACAGTTTGAACAAGGACAATCTTGCAGTGATGCGGAAAGTATCGAAGTGATACCAGGAGAAACAGAAACGTAGTGTGTCTAACTGAGACTTGCGCAATGAGAGAACACAGTACGTCAGATGATCAAATTCGATGAGCGATACGATTTTTATGCTTGGCTCTTGTTTTTAAATGCTTTTCATCGTCTTCAGTATTGAACAAATATAACTTTCCACACACTTTAAAGATTGTTTCAGTACTTCCGACATTTCAACAATTACATGGCTTGACCAGGCGTAACTCTCGCAATTTAGTGTATTGATGACAACAACACCCTCAACATTTAAACTGAGATTTCTTTTGTCTTCGTCATTCATTTGAATTCTTATCTTCACTTTGTCATCGCATTTATACGAACATATATAGATACTCGAATCTTATTTGTGTCATTTTTATCAAAACAACAGTCACGATGGTTAGTGTTTCGAAATGGATGTGCGTTGTTTTTGCAATTTTATTCATGATTGTCAGTTACCAAGTTCAAGCATCGAATGAACTTTCATTCAAGTCAAACGATAGAATTCGTCGATATTTGAGCAAACGTGGACCACCGTGTTGTGAGTGTCCTGCTGGTGCTCCATGTAATGTAAAATGTTGCACCGTTGGTTAAATCAAAACATTTTTCTTCTTCTTCTTCTTCTATTTTCGACTTCTTTTACGAAAACCAAGAGATCAAATGAATAAACAGAACTAATTGTAATAACTAGCGAGTTGAATGTCTCCCTAGAATTTTTTCTATATATTGCCGATAGAAGAAACGAAGTCTTTGGAAAAATGCTCGACGAAAAAATGGACTGGTAAGCATCGCGGCATAGAACGGCGTCGCATAATTGAAGAAGTACAAAGAACTACCAAGTCTTTCAGCGAATCCCTCCGCAGCCTTCTCGTTCATCGTTGGAGGTATAATTGCGAAAACGATGCTGCGATAACTAGCCGAACCAAAACGCAAGCTTGAAAGCAATACGCTCAAAAGCACTTGTGTAACAATAATCTAAAGCTTTCAGAATTTGTGTTTATTCAACCAGAAAATAGTCGTACCTGAATGAGTTTCAATTCGAGCGTTCTTCGACGATTCAATATGCGATTCTCTCTGGTTGCTGGAATCACTCGTCGACGTGATTTTCTCAAAGTAAATATTGTCAACACAGAGAAGGTTAACATCAGCATATGAGGGGCCAGAATCACAACAATAATCAAATATCCTCCGAAAATAAAAGTATAGACACTTCCGGGTTGGATTTGACAAGCGTTTTGAAAAATATCAAAGAAGAAGAATATATGTGTTGATAGTAAAAGTGTAGTAACAAATGTAACAAGTACCAAGCATTTCGCAATCTTGATTTGATTCCATGTTCGTATTCTAGCATCGTCCGATGTTAATAGATACCGATCAATAGCCGCTAACAATATATAATTAGATGCGAGTGCAGGGAATGCTACTGCAACATAATATCGAAATTTACAAAATACAGCGGATTCATTCTGTAAATTACTTCCCGAACGATCGTAAAATACGCGTAGTTGAATACAAACGAGAATTGTCATTAATTGAGATACTGTAGTACAGAGTAAATAAATCTTAGCAGAAGATTTACGTAGCTGATGGCTGGTAAATATAAGTAGATTACCGATACAACCAATTGTACCCAATATAAAAGTCATTAGATCAATATATAATGTTATATCAAGACCGATTTGTCCCAATCTATCTGCATAGCTGGTACTACTTGACATTTTTAGTATTTTGACCCTTTTTTTATGATGTTTGAAACAAGTAAAACTTACAAATGAACTGAAAACATCCACTTCTTTTGTTCCTTATGTGGAAAAAGATTATTTATTTCTGACCTAATTACTTTTCATCCTTCTTTTATGCTAACGTCAAACCTTGAAAAAAAAGTAAAAGTAAGTAATAATTAAAACACGACCTCTGAGATGTCAAAATAGATAGTGCTCAATATTTAACATATAGCGCAGCAGCGCAACCAAATTATGATCATAAAAAAATGCAAGATTCTCTTTACAGAAAGAACTTATGATCGCGATTTTGAACGTGTGTCTATACCATGGAATCAGATGAATTCGCATCGAAAACTGTCTCTACATATCAATATGTACCCAAAGAAAATACACGACAACGATATAAAGAGAGAAGTAGAACGCAAAAATAACAGCATTCGTTCATATTCGTTTTTCTTTCTTTTCGTAATCATTCTCATGTGCATTTATCGATTTCTCTCGTTCGAAAACATATTTCTACATGTTGGCTTTTCCCCAGTGATAATTAACCATCGAATCATAGCCAATGTGAATTTATCACGAAGGACTGCTTCCATTGGTAGATACTTTAACTACGTGAAACTTTGTCAGATTTCTTATTACTAACGATTTGATGATTGTAGGGAAAGAAAAGGATTGATCGGCTTCTTGTGGCTAATGTTTGTTTCCATGTTGTTTTAGAAGCAAGTAGAATGTAGCAAATTAATACAAACAAGGCACCAGATTGCCCTCAACCCATTGATAACCAACCACGCAATGGCAACGGCAATGATGTAGACCCTGGAAACAGAGAAGAAAATCGAGATGACAGAAAAACTTTCGGTTCAACAGTACGAAACATTGCGTGCGTGATTATATCCATCCTTTCTTATTCTTTACGGACCTCAATACATCTCTCGCTATCAGACTTATTCAATGGATAAAGCTGAAAATCGAGATTCTAATGCAGAAATCATTTTTCGATCAGCATTACCTCAAGGAATTTTACAATCGAACAAGTCAGCAAATTCATTTGTAACATTGTCACCGTACGGAACTGGAAAGATTTTATTACGATGAACTAGGCACAGATCAATTAGAAAAGTTCGTCAATACGATTCTTGGTACAGACTTTAAAACTATCGATATCAAACATCAACATGTGGAAAGAGGTGCCGTTCACAATGAACTGGATCAACTTACAGCTCTCAAACTCAACCCAGAACGTATTCGTTTGTTATACAGAATTATCGACAACAAGCAATTTCGAAATCAAGTGCAAAATACCAAATTAGCAAGAAATACATCCAATCATTCACGAGAGTTATCCTTATTGCTTCGAGATAACTTACATCGAACACACGTATTTATTATCAATGATATTGATGTAAATCTCTATTTCTTTCAAAAAAAAGAAACCAAACAAAGAATCGATCAAATCGTTTTGCCATATATCAGTTTCTGATCAACTGATTTCACAAGCTATGGCAAATAATTTTCATCGATCGATGTTTTATCCAGTACTTGAAGATATACAAATGAAAGGTGCTATTAGCCGAGAGGATAAAGGAATTAATCTTCGACTACGCTGATTATGTTCTCGAAATAATGAACAAAAAGGCATCGTTTTGTCGGTGCAAGTCATTACCAGATTTTCGAAAACTTGTTAAATATTCGGATGAAACCATTACTAAATACATCGATCGAATCAAAATACCACGAATGCTTCATTATTTCATGACAGAACTGATTATACAAATGAATAGCTTTGCACAAAGTGTTGAAGTACCTTTTCGAGCTACCGTAAAGAATGTCATTGCTGCTTTTAAAAAAAGCGGAGGAACATTCGGTGAAGTACTGATCACTTTTCTAGATTGCACTTTATAGTCATATTTGTTTTTCTTTTCATAGAAAATGAAACTACTTACTTGTTCCAATGTCTATACTTTGCTGAGCTTCGAGAACGACAGTTTTGGAAAGATCTCGAAAAGAACGTTGAATGCTATTTTCGAACGCAAATGATTCAGAATGTACTACGACATATCACACATGTTGCTATTGAGCTAGAGAGTTTAGAAAAATGAAGAAGAGTAGCTAATTCAATGTTGTATATACCCACTTGATACGGTTATCCCTCCACCTACACATCATTCCATATTGTTTGAGTGAATCGTCGAAAAAAACATTGACACGGTGTATGCATTTGAAATGCAATTGAAGTTTATCGTGAAGATCAATACTTTTTCCCATTGAGAATAGTGAAGTAGAAAAGTTTTATCAGTAATTAATGTAAAATCTTGACAGCAGAAACCATCGTAACATGCGATGCCAGTTGAATAAATACAGTCAAGTATTGTGTCGAGTCATATCTACTTCATCGAATTAAACATTATCATTTCATACGTATAGATCACAAGTACTGATTATGATCATCAACGCTTAGCACATTGTTTCTACCAAAGTAGTTACGAAAATGAAGCGCAGATTATTCACTAGAGATCGAAGCGTCCGAAAACATTAGCAAGTATTTGTTCGTTCTATTTCGATGGAGTTATTATTAGATTATTATATCCAACTAGTCATATTAACATCTATGGTTAACCTTTTAAATTACCAGTATTAGTTGAATCTAAATAATAATTGTGGTTATCGTTGGATTACTTGATCGATAGATTTCTCATGAAAGTGATATATAAAGGTAAGAAAGTACTCCAAATGACGATTTCGTAATACTTATATTAGTTGTATTGAAATTTTTGATTGTATTTATCGCACCGAGAGCACATATAACCAGTCGATCATTTATGTGATGCCGATATATAATTATTATTGATTTCCTTTTGCAAAATGCGACTCAAACAGCTCAATAGATACGATCATGCGTATCACACCCTCACCATCAACAGCAAAGGTATTCTAGTTTTCTTAATTTTATTTCATCACAAATACAAAAATACATTTCATTCTATACAATCTACATTCTAACTGATATAGTGCTGACGAATGGATGCAGGAACACCAGTGTATGGTTGAAAGTGAAGTGCATCTAGTGGAGTGAAGTCGACTTCTCGTTCAACACCAACATGTCCATTCCATGGATTGACATACATTCCACTATCTTGTGTATAGATGCCATAGCCATAGTTACCAAAGCCAATGGTGTGATAGTCACCGTTCCAGCTGTTGCTGACAAGAGTTGTTCGTCCGAGCATGATGAATAGATGAGTTTATTTGAATGATAAGATATCGAAGAGTGAATGAATGAAGATGCGAAAGAGATGCATCGTATTTATAGAATGGAAGATGTGATAGACTATTAGATAACTACACTGTCTATACCATGAATAGAAGTGCGTCGAATCGATGTGACGCACGTTGTGATATGCGTCATCCGTGACGTATTATAGCACTTGTTATGCATGTACAGTGATACAAATACAGGTGAAAAAACTATTCTTGAACGAATAAAGGCTATTGAAGGAAAGAAAAAAAAATTTTATAACACCCATTTTCGTCAGTTCATTTCTAAGAATATCTTAAATACGTGAGCGATGAGGCAT